GTTGATAAAATGATTTTATTTAATTTTGGCACAATCATTTATATAAAATGTGTCATTTTAACAAAATTTTCATCTGAAATACAATACTTTCATTATGACATGCAAATAAATACATTTCTCATAGCTCGCAGAGTCCAGACAGTAATATATAAAAGTCATATTTCGACGATAAACTTGTCACTCAGTAATCGATTTCTGTTTTAAGATTTATCCATTTACTTACAGTAAATACATCATTTATATAAGACAATACGTGATAATTACAATATTGAAAAGCCCGTAAATAGCATTAAGTTCAGGTTTTTAATATTGTAAATTAAGCTCTACACTGATGGTGTAAATGTTGATACGCTATTAAGAAAAGACGATATACTTCCGAGTTCCACCACAAAAGTTAGAACAGATTGATTCTCCGATGTTTTATGAGTATTAATGTTGTGAATATATTAGTTAACTAAAGACTAACAGAATTTAACTCTTTTTCATTTTATTTATATTTCATATTTAACGTTGTTTTACGAAACTCTGTCACCAAGAAAAATAAAGCAGCCATAATTTAATTGCCTAATACTCGAAGCAATGCGAGGGTTTTAAACTTTAATTAAAAACTTGCCATGAAGAACTATCTAGGCTTTAGAACAGACATATAAATTAAATATGTTAAAAGTTATTAAACATTTTTAAAAGTCGCCAATTCAGCGATATTTTTTCCCTAAATGAAAATTGATAAATATCACTGCTTAATTCTCAGTTCCTGCAAAATTTTATGAGCCAAGTAATGCAGCATTGAAGTAAGTTTTTAAATATAAAAAATTAGACCACAAACGCTTTTCATTTTCACAAAATTCTGACTTTTCCAAAATTGACGTTTTGCGCCATTTTCAAAATAAGCGTAGACAGCACTGGCTTTAGATAGGCTAAACTTGACACAACAGTCATGAGTAGCAGTTGCAAACTCACAGCAGTTATTGAAATAGCATATTATTCGCAAAAAACACCATTTTTATATTACGACGGAGCCTTCCAAAAACAGCTTTAATACTTGGTTTAAAGTTTTAGTGGGTGCCTCTTAAGCGTTGAATTCCTTTTATTATTTTAGATATTTCAAATCTAACAACATAAATCCTAGAACTACTATCATTTATAAAACTTATCGGATCATGAAGTCAATTAACGGTGATATAAGATTTTACTATATCTATGAATAGCAAATAAAATATTATTTTTGTTTCGGAAATTCCATACTTAGAATTTATTTGAACCTATGAGCTAAAAATGAAGCAATAATGTAAATGTTAAATAATTTCTGGCATAAATAGCTCATATTATCAAGAGCTAATAAATAATTTAATTATTTCTGCTACTTTGTGAAATCTGCTTTCTTAATACATAATCAGGAGCTTTTAATATAGACATTTAAAAAGTCCTCCCGTTTTAAAGTAATTTTCTCATATTAACTACCTTTGTTAATTGAAAGAAGAAAACAGCAGGTAGGAAACATATCATTAAATGTTCTTAATTCACTTATAAATGATCTTTTTTCATAAAGCGTTCTTTATTCATAAAGTGTTCTTTATTCATAAAACACTCTTTATCATAAAATATTTTTTTTCTCCTGCTTATAAGAAATAACCATAGAGAAATTCACAATAAAGCAAAGAGAAAACAAAAAAGTTAAGAAACTATCTCAAACAATCCGTTAAGATGTTTCAAATTTGAGAAAGTTAGTCAGCAAGGTATGCTTTTTAGCTATAATTAACACGAAAAACACTTGGTAAGTTATAGTACTCCCCATAAGATGGTTGTATATATTTGGAGATTTTTCCTTCTCAGGAACTAAGAAAGTTAAATATTGTACAACGTGTCTTTAAAGAGTTAAGATTTTCATTCGATACATCTTTTAAATTAGGATACAGTGGGAATATATACGGTCGGTGAACAAATAAACTTCATTATTTGGATCCAATTAGCACGATGCACAAAATAAATTCGGAGGAAATGTTGTTAACTTGCATAAAACAAATTTTGCTCGCAGCAACATTGTGCTCGTTGTAAAATTACAGCGGACAAGTCAACTCTACGGAGAAATCAGAATTCCTATCTAGATGTAGAGCTTTTGAATGTTATCCCATGGATTACGGTCAAGTCAAACATCCTGTTTCAAAATCAAGACATACAAATTGGTGGAAGTCTAATGGTTTCATCTAGAAGTATGTTATGTCTGTAGTAAGAAAATCTGTTGAAACATTCTCAATTATTTCCCTATTTTCATCTAGTGAAATGTGTCATTTTAATTAATTGTGACAATTCTGTGTAGCTTATATTAAAAGAATAAGAAAAAGGAAAGGAAAAGAAGTTACTTTATGTTATCCTTATTGGTATCATATCGTTTCGGCTATAACTGTTATAAGTTACAATGCTCTACGAAAATCTATTCCTTCTTAATAAAAGCGATTTTTCTCACACATTTATATTAATAAAAAATTTTATTATTTACCATTCAGTAAGGAAAACCTTCCTTCCAAAACGAAATAGAAATAAATTAATTATGTATTATAGGACGTTCAAAATTCATCTCCGATTTTTTTTAAACTTATAAATACTTTAGCTTTTGAAATGAATTTAAGTAGAAAATTAATTAAGGTATTTCTTTCAAATTTCAGCAAATATAACCCTTACAATTAATTCCATTTGTGAATGAGAGATGAGATATGATGTGTGTGTGTGTGTGTATCTCTCTAAAAACATGTGATAGAAGCTTCCGATTCAACACGTGAATACAGTATGTATAAAACATGAATAATATTTCGTATCAGTTATCTGTGATTTTAGGTCAAAGCTCTCAGAGCACCCTTTTGTAAAATAGAATAATTAAATAGAACAATAGGTACTTACCCGGTAGCTGAGAATTAATTAAAAATCTTTGAGCTGAAATGATATCCACGCTCCTTATTTATATATTTTTTTTAAATATTAAGAAGATAGTTACAGTTAAACTCAGTTAAAAACTAAAGAGAAAATATAAACAGATTCTGCTCTAAAAATGGAGCATCATGTAAAAAAGTGATGCATGTTACATTTTCAAAGCAAGATAAAACAGAAAACAATCTCCGAACAAATAACTACTGTGCTTTGCTGAAGTAATGAGCGTATTTGCCTGTTAGACCATGGATTTATTGTTTTCATTTTACTTTATTTATTTTTTTAATTCTTTGAATACTTGTTTTTTTCAATTCGGATAATAAAAAATTGATTGGATGCTTTAGAATGTACAGCGAAAAATTATATTTTGTCATTGATCCTAAGGTAAATTATAAGTTGATTTGACTATTCCATTTTCTCTCTACTTTTATTACCCTTAAATTTATTTCTATGTTGCAAAATATGCCTATTTATATGATTAGGATGCATCGTTAATCTCTTTAAACTAAAGAAAAATACATAGAGATAATCGCCATTGCTTATAATTACTACATAAATGCACTGAGAAAAAAAAGCTTGGACAAAACTACTGGATTATAGTAAAATTTACAGTGTTTCTGGCTCTATTAGAATACCAAAAAGTGTGGGAATTTTGACCATTGAAATTTAGTAATGATTTTGATAAAACTAACTATAAAAGTAACTAAAAAATTTGGTTTTTATAATATGTCATAAAATTTGGAAAATCTTCTAAAATTTGGTAATTTTGTCAGGATATATTAGAGCATGGTATTAAAACCATATATACGGTTAAATTTAATTTTTTGATTTGTATTCTTTACTAAATGAGTGCTAAGAAGAACTATGCAAATAATGGAGAGTTTACTGTGCACTAAATGTTGTAAAGAATTAATGGACTGAAAATAATAAAATAAAAACAATACTGTAAAAGAGTTCTGAGAATATAATAATAGATGCTGTTTCAAGATGCAAAAATAATTTAAGTCAATTCATGATAAATAAAAAAGCATACTCACAGAAAAATATTTAGTTTCAATAAGCCAATATATTTTAGTTTCGTAAACAAACATTTCTGTTCAGGTTACACTCGAAAATGTTATTAAAGTTTTCATTAAAAAGTACAATTTCGTGACAAATTCACCTTTAAAAACAAATACTTATATTCGAGAGAATTCTTTTGTTCCTTAAAAATCAATTCCTTTTAAAATCATTCATTTCGTACATCATGAATCCGATTACATTAAGAAGATTATCCCTCAATTTAAAAAATATTTCAAAGGAAAAAAAAAGCTGATCGTGGTCGTGGCTTTTAAGCAAAGTTAAAATCAATATTTTGTTTTAAAAATTAAGGAATTGCAGTGCATATATCTATGCAAGCATTAGTTATTTATTAGAATTTAAAGCACAGGCATAAAGATTCTTTTTTATTTATATTTACGTTTCAAAAAGTTAATTTGTTAAGAGCATAAAATCATAACTAAAAGCTTAATTTTTACGATTTTAGAGATTAAAAATTTAATTTTTGGGGATTAAAAGGAATTTTTGGAGAATTTGAAATTTAGTGATTATAAATTTAAATTAAACCAGCGAAAATTTTTTTGAGAGATACATTGTTAAAAAATACTTTGGATCAAAAATATAGTGTTAACATGCATTTTTGATGTGGCAAAATTTTAGAAACTTCACTATAGGGTGCTTTTGAAAACATGAAATGTAAGTTTAATGTTCTTTCTGTAGTGATTTCCTCAATTTTTAATTGTTTCTTAAATATTTTATTTGTTTTCATTTTATCAAACTTTTAAAAAGGTATTTTCATACGCAAGCCCCTTCACGTAAGAGGTAATTGAGTCATTTTCCATAGATATTTATCCAATTGTTAATGAATATCTTTCAAAAGCTTTCGAATATATAACTCACAAATTGCACTTTTTCAGAAGTATTTAATACTGAATAAAACAGTAATCCTTGATGATTCAAAATATGCAATTATCGTCGAAAAGAAGTTAACTTAATAATTTTTAAATCAATTGCCAACATTTAAAAACTATAGTGGATAACTGAATTTTAACTTTTTCAGTAATTTAAATTTTTTGTCACATATTGAACATTTCAAGATTTTTACAAAATTTGCACTATACTCTTCAGCACCATCATAGTTTTGTTTTCGACTGAACAATTAGTCAGCCAATTCAGCCAGCAATGCCAAACTCAAAACTAAAATTTTTATTTAAAATACATTGAATGACCGAATTGGCTATTATTTTTATGAACCCTTAATCGTTCTACAGTTATACACATGTTGTGTCTACAGTTGTATTTGGTTCAGTTGGAACAGCCATCCATTTAGAGACAATTTTTGGCGTAAACAAATTGGCGAAAGTATCCCTGAATTGGCGACTCATTGAGCAATAAAGAATGAAATTAATAGCGCTGTTAAGAAGAGCCAACAAATCTACAAACTCTCCCAGATTCAAGTAAACATTGTCGAAGAAAGCTTTACCCAAAATTCCACTGAGGAGAGCCACGATACCTGATGGAAACTCTGTGATGAGGAACAGCAGGAGGATTGCAAGGAGCATTCTTGTTGTTCTGTCGTGTGTTTTGTCATTTTCAACACGATTTTTAAGCCTTTGCCTTCTTTTATTTGCCTCATAAAGAACTTTTATGAGGCCCAAGCTCAAGCCAGTTAGAGCTATGCAGGGTATCAACTTTGTTAAAACACTAAAAATCCAAAAGTTTATTTTTTCTAGTAATTGATTGTTGCTCTGGGCTATCTCACTAAAATATACTCGATACCCAGTCAATCCGTTATGATGAACTTCGATAATCGTGAATGTAAGGTAGACTGGTAAGCAAAACAAAGCACAGTTTATGTATGTGCATGCTATCGCCAGCCGTGCCCTAGGCATACTGCACCAAGTTTTTGCAGCTGCTGGACAACTAACGGCTACGAATCGCCAAACAGCTAAAGTTACAGTTAGCCACGTCGAAATGGTGTGACATACAACCGTAAAATGAGCATGGAATAAAGTATAAACTGCCCAAGCGTAAGAATACTTCTGTTCTGGTGGTTGATTAGTTCTTACATAATTATGAATACAAAATGGTAGATATGATACCATCACTAGCATGTCTGCTACAGCTAAACCTGTTAGAATGGCATTAGTTGGCGAAATCATGTCTTTCCGTGTTAGAACAATGATATTTAACACATTTGCGAAGATTCCAAATATGCAAACAATAACAGCCAAATATCCATGTATTGTTAAATATCTGCTTCTAAAAGTTCTAAAGTGATCACCAAAAAACGGGCGTGGTGGAGTCGTATCAGGGTAAATATCTGTAGAAGAGTTGATCGTGAAATCCAGCGCATCTATGTCTCCAAGCCAACTATAGTCACTGGCATTCAAATTTTGAAAATATGGTTCGTAAATATTTGGTGTATCAGCGATAGGATCCGTATAGTTTATGTTTGGTACACTGAAACAGCAGAAAATAGATACTGCTGTAGGATGAATCTGAAGAGGCATAGACATATTTGTTTTGGCTTTAATAGTTCAAAAATATTCAAAAGAAGCAGTCAAAAGATTGATTAAACATGTCTTTTTTCTCATTATCATGGGCAGAACCATTATTCATACCTATAAAAAAGAGAAAAAAAATGTTAGGTTAGTGAAACATAATCTGAAACGAATCTTAGTAAATCTTCAAACATAATTTTACTATCGTTAATTATATCTATTTTTAATATCATAGGGTTGCTGTGAAAGTTTTTGAGAGAAAAAAATTCAAGATATTAAAGTTTGTACTTGGGTAATTCTAGTTAGTTTTTATTTTATTTTACTTGCTTTTAAACAACAGGAGAGTCATATTGATTACAACCACGGTCTACTTAACCAGTGACTTAAGAAGTGTTTAAGCAACATATGTTAATTAGAACTTCGGCCGAGACACGGTTGACTATACAGAAAATATCATAATTAATTGTGTTTATAGGAAAAAGGGTATGGTAGAGGATACTTTTTTTTGCCAGAAAATATTTTTAGAATGTTGTATGAAAGAATTTTAGTATCGATCGTTCCATCCTGACAAAATATCAATTATTGAAAAGAGTATTACTGGCCAGCCATATAATTCACTCACCGGAATTACTGAAGTTGTCGAATAATATGTCTTATTACATATGCAGAAACATTAAATACCTCTGCAATAACTTCCGTTAATACGTTGTGGTGGTACGAAAAATGTTTGTTGGTTTATGTAGAGAATATATCATTAACAACGAGGATCAACAATGCCCAATCGGTAAAGATGAAAGAGAAATGTCAAAGAAAATATACAATGATAAAGCTAAAAACTAATAGAACATGTGTCTACATATTATATACATATATATATATATATATATATATATATTATATACATGAACATAAATTTTAAGTTTCAATTNTAAAAAAATATTCTTTTATATATATATAATTTAAGATAATAAGACAATGTCCTTCAATTCCATTGCACTATGTACTATACAAAACTAATCAATAAACAAATTGTTCAGACAAACTGCTGCGCAACCTGCTTCTTAGAAAAATAAGGAATACGACTTAGATATATCAATGTTCTGAACATAGTTACTTGCCTTTTCTCATCTCATCTTGTCATATCTTTTATTAAACTCACTTTTTCATTTCCTTTTTCGCATTTTTTTTTTACGCCAACCTGCCATTCCCTTGGCATTTGCAATAAACTTGTTTTGTCACCCCAACCCTCAATCTTCTTCTTTCCCCCTATTAGAAGAAAGGGGTGGCGGAAATAAATAAATGTCTTTTCAGCTCGAGAAGACGAGCTTAATTATAGACGGTCGAATCTGGGGAAGAAAGGGTGTACGGAAGATTGAAAGGTATGAAAAAAAAAGTTTAAAAAAAAATGTTCTAGAAAGTAGTAAAAGAATTTGTTATTAGCTTGAGTAGATATGATGGATAATGAAAAGAGGATATTGATAGTGTAATAAGAGTAGTACGTGAAGGCTCGAAGATTTACGATGCAGAGAAGTGTTCTTTTGTGGGTTTACAGCTCTTGTTAGAAATTATCACAAAAGTTTCTAATTTACTCCAATAATGCTTTTTTTCGTAAATGAGAATTTATCACGATTATAGAAAGCACAATAAATATAGTTAAGTTAATTCTCTGAACGCATATTTACTAAAAATTAAGATAAATTTGCGTTTGTTTGTACAGAGATGTTATTTAATTTCTGCTTTACAAATTAGACCTTTAGAGCAGTATCAGCGAATGTGCAATGTGTTGCTGGATGTAATATGTAAATAAGTTTGCGTAAACCATGAGTAAAAATTTAATAATTAATGTTTTTAACAATTAACAAATTGTTCACGTTATGTTATATTTTATTCTGTAATACCTTTGGTTCCTCTGAAATGCACGGAAAATAAGTAAAGTTGCAAAAATAAAAAATTAAGATGCATAAAAGAATAAAACTTATCAGCAATATTGATTGAATTTCCTTGTTTATAAAATAACTTTCTAATTATTTCATGATATAATTTTTACTATTATCTTTTTTTTTTCATCTATTTTTCAAAAATTGAGCCATTGAATGGAATGAAACATAAACTGTTTACTTGATTTAAAAAATGTAGTTATTTATTTTACCATTCTGCAAGCATTTAAAATACTTATAATAAGTGGGCACATAGTATGAAAAATTTGTTATATATAATATTTAACTGGGTCTTAGGTTCGTTTAGTGACTCATTTCCAAATATCTCGTCCATATGTTATTGGCAACTCTTCGATCACACTGCAAAAAATACCGGCTCTCAGTTTGCCAGTACTTTTTACTATAAAATAGATTTTAAGACAACATGTTACGGAACAAAAAATAAGCTATACTTTAATTTTTACAGTAATAATTATCGTAAATCATTGAATCACTCTATTTAAATAAACATTTTGGCAAAAATGATGGTATATTATTTTGCGGTAAAACATTTTACGGTGAAATGGATTTTTTGAATAATTCATCCTAAGTGTCGGAACTTTCTACAGTATTTTGATTCAGAAATGTTTACATTGTTGGTTCCATTGTTATGCATAGGCAAATAGTGCATTTATTATGTACTGTCACTCAAGATTTATTTCAATTAAAAATTTTAGGTTAATTGAACGTGTCTCTGTAAATAGCATTTTAGAAGGCAGTTTTATTATTTTGAGAACAAGTCTATTGACTTGATTGAATGTAAAAGTATTACATTAAAGTTATCTGTTTGACATAGAAAATAACTACCCTGCAAAATGAAAACATTTTTATGAACATATTTTTCAATTTTTTCAAATAAAAACAAGTATAACTGGAAAACCAAAAAATAGTGCACGGAGGAAAAGTACTCGTAAATTTCTGGAAAATAAATTAATATATTTTCAGTATAGTATAGTAATGACATTTCTGATAAAAAAAATAAAAAATATAATGTTAAAAAAATTAAATATTTCTAAGAGAAAAAATTGATAAAATTATCAAATTTCATCACTTATTATAAAACCGTATTTTATTACTATTTTTACCAAAATCATTACCAAGCCGCTGTGGTAAAGATTACCATTTTTTAGAGTTTCCACAGAGCAATTCCTACACATATTCTGGTAGTTTTAATTATACATTTTTTCTCAGTGTGTTTTTAAAAAAAGTCTTAAATATAAACTTTATTTATATGCATTAGGATTTAGCTTACTTTCTAAATATCTATTGATGAAATAAACTGCAAAATATATTTTATAAAATCCAATACTCTTAAAACTTTGATGATTAGAAAGTATCACTTGCAAAACTCTTAAATTTTTGATATATTCACGTCAGTGATGCCCTTATAAAATTTCAAAATAGTCAAAACATTTCTGACATCTGTTTCTAGGATGGTTATTTGAAAATCTGTGTAGCGACAAGTAAAATAAGATTAAAACGCAAATGCCGTAACAATAGTTAAGTATATTAGCTGTTCTCAAGATTATTAAATTTCCACCAATAACTCAACTGGAATTAAAATTTATTTGAATACATTTATTTTTAATAACGAAATATGTCTCTTTATTAAATATTTTTAAAAAAACATTTTTGCTGATGTGAAAAAATTGGATAATTATTTTTTCAATTTAAGAAAATACTAATTTTCAAAGTAGGAAATACATACGAAAAGCTGAGAGGAAAAAGCAGGTAAGTGACATTAAGAAAATGAGATTTCTCGGAGAAATTTCTTATTTTAGTCTTAATAAAATATATAGCATTATCGTATTTCTATTTTAAATATAGTAATTCAGTAGTTACTCAGTGCATTCTTAGAAATTTCTTTGAAGAAAATGGTTAAATAGCAATTTTATTTTATTGTTCAATTAAAATATTCAAACAAAACTGTCAAATAATCATAAATAAATGGTATTCAAACTGTTAACTGAGAAAAATTCCGTTTGTGAACTGCTCTCACCTTATACGGTTAAAGAACCAGAATTTTATCGCACTAATTAGGCCCACCTAATGAAGCCACTTAGTTCTGGTACATATTATGACTGAAAAGGCTAATTTACGAATCTCATGGCTGGAAGAGTCTCAGGGTGGACACCACACTAATTCTTCCATTCCTTTCAACAAAAGAATTTAAAGTGTTCCCCTCTTTTAGGATAGGTGAAGCCTCCAGATAAACGAATTCAACCACATTCTATGTCCCATTTGATAAAACACAACTCAACCTATTTCCAATTGTTTAGAAACCATGCTAGTTGTAAATGGTTAAAAAAAATTACAGTTTGGAATTTATTTTTTTCACCATACGAGTTGTAAAAGGTTTCTAAAATCGCAAATATAAAAAAATATTCTTTACCGTAATCTTTATGGTTAAATGAATGGACATACTGTTGACGTTGTTTTACCGTAATTTTAAAATGAAATTCTAACAGTGTGGAAGAGGGAGGTAAATGACTTTATTTCATTATTTCTTGGTTGGAAGAACATGGTAATTGCGCTTGGCAACAAACAGCTCGATAAAATCACTCTCTTGAAACAAATGTTAAGTCGCAAAGAGTTCAAAGGAACTCTGGAGAAACTTAAAAACCGCAGCTTTCATACATTAAGGAGGAATGTAGATACTTTCACGAATCTGTAATTAAAAGAATGAAACAGCCCCCTTAAATGGCTTCATATCATTTTGTTGTTTTTGGTTCGCAATACTCTGTGTTTCAGACACACTGCTCTGTTAATGAATTTATTATTTTTCTGATTACTTTTGTGTTGATACAAATTTTGTTGCAAGCTGAATACTAGTTTTTTCATGCGGGTTAGATTGAGAAAAAACTAAATAATAAATAATTCGGTAATGATTAACGTTACAAAGTCATGAAAAACACTGAAAGAGATATACTGATACAATTAATTATGTAATTAGTATTTTGTGTTGATTTCCTTGATGGTTTTACGCTATTAGATTAGGCAAACATTTTTTAGAAGTTTATCTAATCAAAACAAAAACAAAAAATTATTTAACAATATTCAGTAATTTGACATATCACATTTCTCTTGATGGTATAAAATTACCCAAATACACATTTTTTTTAGTACTTATCCCATTCGAAGGGC